GAAGAGAAGAGAAGAGAAGAGAAGAGAAGAGAAGAGAAGAGAAGAGAAGAGACTGTGCAGTGCCTTGTCCGGAGTGTCCAGCCTTGGGGACTTCAAGTCTTGTGGACCTCAACACCCAGAATTCCCCAGCCAGCAATTCCAGGAGTTGAAGTCCACAAGTGTTAAAAGTTTCCAGGGTTGGACACCCCCAGGTGTTGGGGTCTCCTGCTTGAGCAGGGGTTGGACTGGAAGACCTCCAAGGTCCCATCCAACACCTCCTTTTGTTTGCCAGGGGTCCTGCGAGAGGCTTCCAGCCAGCCCCTCCACCTGGGGAAGCCCCTCTGCCCGACAGAAGGAAGATTCGACAAGCGTCTACTTACCGACGGAAAAGGGGCCGTCAGGTGGTTCAGGCAGGAGAGCCGAGTGCGAGAAGACGCACACTTTTGCAGGGAGAAAAGAGCAAAGCTTTCCCACCGGGCTTGGGTTAAGTCATCTCCCCCCTTCCCTCTTCTGCAATTCTCAGCCAGGTGCAGCCCAGGCAGGCATCCTCGGGATCCTAAAGTCTGCCTGGTTTGGGTCTCTCTCCCCCTCCTGCAAACTCCCTTCCGGTCAGTGCCTCAAATCTGGGACGGGTCAGTGGGTGCGAGAGCTGCCTCGGCCGGGGAGACCAACCTCTGCTCTCCCCAAAGTGCTGGGGGAGGGGAGGACAGCCAAAAAGGGGGGGGGGTCTTGTGCAGAAGATGGTAGAAGCTGCACCAGGAGAATTCTAGCTTTCTCAGCCGCCTGGGAGGATTGGTGGGCCGGTTTGGGTCCTGTAGTTAAAGGGGCTGGACGAGGAGCTGGGAGACGTAGAGCTCCGGGTGACTTTGGGCCAGTCTCTCTCTCCCTCCCTCTGAAGGGACAGAAGAAGAAAGAGGAAAAAGGAAAAGGGAGGGAGGGAAGGGAGAGAGGGTGGAAGAAAAGAAAGGATGGAAGGCAGGCAAAGGAAGAAGAAAAGAAGAGGGGGGAGGGGAGGAGGGAGAGAGAAAAGTAAAAAAGAGAAAGGAAGGAAGGAAAAAAGGAAGGAAGGAAGGAAGGAAGGAAGGAAGGAAGGAAGGAAGGAAGGAAGAAAGAAAGAAAGAAAGAAAGAAAGAAAGAAAGAAAGAGCCTCACTCTTGTCTCTAGTGGCTCTAACCATTTTGATTTTCGAAAGCCGTGGCCTCCCTCATACCGCCTGGTGCCTTGAAGCACGTAGCCTCCTTCGCACCCAGCCCCAGGGCTCCGCTTGTTCCCAGGCCGCTTGTCGGCTGCTCCCGGCTTCCTGCTCTTTGGATTTTGGGGGAGAAGCCAGAAATCCTTCAGCCCAGATGGGAAAAGGTCTCTGGGGCTGCCCCTGCCTTCCCCCCCTCCCCTCCCCCGTGGCATTAGACAGGCTGAAGGGTGGGGCTGCCTGGGAACCCTCCGGGCTGGGGGTGGGGGTGCTCAGGCACATGGATCCTCACCCATGACCCATCGTCCAGAACAAGCGGAAGCGGCTGGAGCACCCTCCCAAAAAAGCTCGGCTGATCGGTGGCCGGGATGGAGGAGGGTTCAAGGTCAGCCAGGCAGTTTGGGGCCCTTTTCACCTGCACCCCATCGGTCTCCTCTACCTGTTGGCTGGGAGGTTTTAAGACTTGGGTACGTGAACGGCAGGAGGGAAGCGGGCATAACCGCTCAGGTGCATCCCAAAGTCTCCCAGGTGTCGGCAGCCCTGCCAAGATCTCGTGGAACAGAGACGCCCCACACAGTTGCAGTGGGAGAGGACCTGGGTAGCTCTGGGATGCGCTGCGGAGTCCTTGGGGCTCTGAGTGGAGTGGTTTTTCTTGCAGACGTTTCGTGACCCAACCGGGTAACGTCCTCAGGGCTAGAAGGGTTTGCAGAGAGGAAGAGGAAGAGAACTGCGGGGTCTTCGGGGCTCTTGGAACTCCTTTGTCTGCTTACAGACCTTTCATGACCCAACTAGGGAACACCATCAGGGCTAGGAGGGAGCGGAGTTTGTGGAGAGAGGGAGGGGGAGGCCTCCGATGTTCTCGGAGCTTGGCTGCTTTCCTGCAGACCTTTCATGACCCAACTAGGGAACACCATCAGGGCTAGTGAGTGCGAGCTGTACACTGCATAGAAGCTTGAGGCAAATTCTAGTTCTCTCTATTCCAGGACCCCTGTGGGTTCCCTGTAAACTGGTCCTTTGGTGGTTGGGAAGGGCTCCGAGGCTGAGCAGTTGGAGCAGGATCACATGGGCAGGGCTGGGGGGCGGGGGGGGGGGCAGATCGGGGAAGAGGAGACAGGGGTTTTGAACCACCTACGCACCCCTGTCAGGCTGGCCCTGCAGTTTCCCTGCTACAGAGCCCTGAGAGAGCAGCACAACTTTCCCATTCAGGGGAGCCTCCGAGAGCTAAAATTAATATTAGGAAGGAACTAAGGCCATCGATCGTTGCTTTCCCTCCAAGGAAAGTAATAGAAATAGATTAACGGCCAGACACTTTAGAGCCCATTTCTGAACTTTTCTGGCCCGTTACAGCAGCAGCAGCCTTCCTCATGCTTGGCCATTTGAAGGACTTCCGCTCCCAGAATTCATGCTGGCTAAGGAATTCTGGGCGTTTGACATCCCTGAGTGCTGATTAGGGAATTCTGGGAGTTAAAGTGACCAAAGCGGAGAAACCCTATTGCTCTACAGACCGTTTGCTGCAGATAGACGACATTATATCTTTTCTGCAAAAGATCATTTCCCTGGGCGAGATCATTTCCCAAAAACTTTTGAGGGGATTCCCACAGGGCCACATCTGCGGATCGCATCTACCGGCCTCCGGCTTCATCGGCTTTTTCCTTCTTTCCCAGGCGGGAAATTTATGTTTATTGTTGCCACATGGCTAAAACCCCCACCCCCCGGCTCTCTCGGGCCCAAGGAGTCACTTTCCACGCCTTT